CCAGGGTGTTCTTAAATATCACATAGTTTGCTTTAGTGCTTAAGGTTGTAGCCGATTGAACCCGTAGATGATTTTGGAGTATATCTACATGTCTTATGCTTACTTAATATTCTGTGTGTGGGTGCGCACCTGAGTGTGTGTGCGTGTGTGTGTGTGTGTGCGTGCGTGTGTGTGTGTGTACGTTTTTGTGAAATTGTTTATACGTGGTTGTGTGGCTATTAAGCCCTTCCTCCCCCTACAAGGCTACAAGGTGGGTCTGGGGAGGGGGCTCAGTGGTAGAGAGTTTGCCTAGAGTGTGTAAGGCCCTGAGTTTCACCCTTAACTCCAGAGGAGAAAAAAATCTGCAATCATGGGGGTTGGGGAGGAGCAGTACTGAACACCCTCAGGCAATGCCCCTCTCCCAGGCTCCCGAAGTGTCCCGTTTATAGACCCCACTTGCATAGCCACACATGAGAGGGCTCTGGCACTCTGCTTGGCCCTAAGTTGGAGATTGTGAACACTGGTGACCTGCACTCACTCAGGTCCTTTCTTACTGAAAGTGAGCTTCCAGTTCATCGCAAATAAGTTACATTTGCCCCTAGAGGGTCAGCTACCTATCTCCTTTTTTGCTTGTTTTGTTTGTTTGTTTGTTTGTTTGTTTTGGGTTTTTTTGAGACAGGTTTCAGAGTGAGTGGTCTGGAACTCACTCTGTAGACCAGGCTGGCCTTGAACTCAGAAATCTACCTGCCTCTGCCTCCCAAGTGCTGGGATTAAAGGCGTGTGCTATCACCGCCTGGCCAGCTACCTATCTCAAAGACACGGACGGCCCACTAGTGCATGTACTCTGAGGAGCCACACACTAGCGGCTTCCCTGAGAGGACCCAACTCTTGGACAGTTTTGTCAATCCAGAACACATCTGAAGAAAAGGAGTACATGGTCTCTAATGGTCTTATCGCAAGTGGACCCCATCTTGGAGAGATGAAAATTAACTTTAATCCACTCACCCAGAAGCAATGTGTAAGATGCCCCAAAGCTGGTGAAAACCCCCGCTGTTCTCCACCTTCCAGGTCAAAGTACCAGCCTTCCTCCCAGACCAAGAACTTACCCAGAGAGTCGGAGAGTTGAGCCGTAGCCCCATGCTGTCCTTCATCCCACAAGTGCTGCCCAATCCCAACCACCAACATCCAGTCCAGCAGCACAGGACTGGCTTGGCCAGGGTATGCTCCCTGGCTTTTGAGGCTCCCAAAGTCAAGGAGGTAGGGCAGGGCAAGGAGGGACAGGCATAATGCTTTGACAGTTAAGGCTGGCCCCAGAAGCGGTGTTTACTCCTGGCTACCAGGAGCAGCTGAGTGGGAAATTAGTTTGTTGGTTTTCCATACTTCCTCCAGACTTCCCACAGAGTCCTCAGGACCCTGGTGATGAATTGCCCAGAATTTGGAGAAACCCTCAATGCTCCGGCACACAGCCATCTTTGTGAGAAGGTGGCAGCGCTCGGGAGGAGCCAGGCAGATGCTGGAGACAGACGGGAGCCAGTTCCTGCCTCCACACTGGCTGGGGACCAGGAGCAGGCAGCTAGAGTTGGGACAATGGAGACAGAAGGTGCCTGGGCCTGCAGCAGCAGAGGCCAACACCCTGTTCCTTACCACCCACACCCAGCTGTGGAATCCACAGATTTGGAGCAGGACAGACAGCTTCTTACCCTCTCTTTAGGCCTTAGAGAAGAAAGGGTGATAAAAAAAAAATCTGTCCCGTTTAAGTGCTGCTGCCCTGACTTCCTGAGGCTTGAGGCTCTGAGCCATCTCTAGTGGCTAAGATACCCTCCGTGCAACTTCCCAGTAATGGCGCACAGTCCTTCCCAGGCTTCATTCACCCTTCGATTGATAACATTCCCAACTCCCAGCTTCCTTGGGTGTCAGGCACCAGGATAGGGCTGCAGGTACAAAGATGACCAGCCAAACTGCTCTGTGGGGTGGTCCTCATCCCCACCTTCCTCTCTCCACCCAGTATGTACACTCTGCCAATGAGGGGAAGAAGGCTCCTGGTGCCCTGCAGCTAGGACTTCAAGGCACTTGGACCTGCTCACCCAGTGAGATTCTGTTAGATGCGGGTTGGGGTGTCCGCTGGGCTTTGTTCACCCAAGGCCTCTTGCCTTCTTTCAAAGGTACCTATTTTTCTCATATGATGGATACCATATCAGAGGCCCTGGGTAGCTAAAAACCTTGTTCCTCCAGGGGTGAACCTAACCCTCGGAGGTTGGAGGAACAGGACACCAGGTATTCTAAAACTCAGGTGCCCAGCTTTGGCATCAAGCAGGAGACACTGAAGCAGTGTGGCTACAGTTCCCTGTCTCTTGAGCACCCACTCTTGGTCGTCATATCTTCTTGTGCCCCATGGGGTCAGACAGCTTACACTTTGTGAGCCGTGTGTACAGAAGTGCAGCTGGGGACAAAGTGAGCAGTTATTATCCTCTCCCCAAGTCGCCTGGCTCTGCTCCACCTGTCCTTTCTGATGATCCGAAGAGTCTGGCACGCTGGGGCACATGGTATGATAAGAAAGACGGCTATGGCTGTCCACCAGGGAAATGTCTGGTGAGGAATAACTTCCTTAGACAGTAGTGTCTGCTATCAAGGGCAGAACAGGGAAGGGGGGATAGATGACACACAGCCCAGCCACAGGACAGTCATAAGGGACAGTTTTCTCCATTCACAGCTGAGTAGGGCATTGTCTCTTGTTTAGTTTCTGTACCATGTCACTGCATTTATACCCAAACCCTCAGCTTCCTGCCTGCAGAGTCGCACCAAAGGCCTGGAGCCGAGTACCAACCTGACTCTGGTTTCCATGACTCCCCAGAGACTGTGGGAAAAGATAGGCGGCCAAAGGCAGGCCCCAGAACCAGCTTAGAAAGCAACACCAATGCTTCTGCCTCGTTGCTACAGAGCCTATACAGACAGGCTAGCATGGTGGAGTCAGCACAATTCTGAAGTCAGACTCTCCAGGTTCAAATCCTGGCTTGGTCTCTTACCAACCGTGTGACTCTGAAAGATGTCTAATTTTTCTGAGGCTTAGTCTCCCATCTGTTAAAAAAAAAAAAAAAAAAAAGGAGACGAAATGGAAATCCCAGAGTGCATAATGACTCTCGGGACAGTTTCTATGAAAGCTCCTGACTGCAGAAGACATGATGAAGGTGGAGAGGAGCTATAGAAAGGGGGCGGTATTCTCCCAGGAATTGGGAGTGGCCATGCACAAAAATCCCTCCTCTCTCCTCTGGGACCACAGGCCTGGCACTGCCCACGCATCTTGCTAATCCTGGCATTTAGGGCCCTGGAGTCTACACCACTGCTAGTAAGTATTCTTCTTCAGCAACCGGAGTGGGGACTGACGCATTTCTTCCAGGTGTCAGGCCAAGGCCACCCTCACAACTTTCTGGACTATCAGTCCCAACTGCTAGCAGCCCCAGTTCCAGGAAAAAGGAATGTTTCTGCCCCCCCCCCCCCGGGGGGGGAGGCTCACACCAGCTGATACAGAAGAAGAGCCGTGGATACTCTGTAACGGAACTATGATCCACCTCTGGCCAATGCTATCACATGCTACCGTCAAGTCAAGCCTCTGATGGAAGTCACAGCTTCTACTGGACTCCTGTGGTCATCTTCTCCAGCCAGGCCAGCAAGAGTACATGTCCCCAATTCCACATGTCCCAGGGACTCTATCCCAGCATATGCCCACTGGTCTTTTTCCTCCACTAACTCACTGATGCCCATGGTGGGCACATGGGAAGATTAATACAATCTATTTTACTGTCCATCACAGAACTCCCCAAGTCTGCCAAACAGCACGCAATCTCTCCGATCCCATTCCTTCCCGCACGTAGCCAGACGCTGAAATGGAACATTCCTCTTGCCCTGGGAAGGGAGAGGTAACCATGAGGCACAGTGGACTCGAGCCACAACCTGACCACCGCCCAAGACACTAGGCAGGGAGGGCTCCCTGCAGTCACTGAGGCCGCCTTTTCTTCAAGAAGATCAATGCCAATTCAGCCGAGGCTAGCTGGGTTCCGCTCAAGGCAAGTCCATAATTCACTACCGGTGCCCTCAATCACCAGACAGCCACTGATTAAGACTGTGTGCCCTGCACTGCACTAGTCTCAAGATCCTTGGGACATGCCGGACGCTACGAATCAGAAACGGAGCAGACATTCTGGTGCAAAACAGACCAACAGGCCTGGTTTCACCCTGACTTAAGTCTCAGTTCAATCCATGGCCCCATTTATATGGCCCCCGAGCTGAGATCCCCTCCATGGAAGTTCCTCTGAGGAAGCACATCCGCCAGGGGGAAGGGTCTCTGCTTCCTTGCAACGCCCTGTCAGGGATACCACGCAGATGTCAGGCGCAGCACCAGCACGCAGCCTTTTCCTTACAGCTTAAAGACCCCAGTCCAGAAGGACTTTAAAAGTTTCCAAATCGCTGGCTCCGGTCTCCCCCATCTCCCTCCGGAAGGGCTGCGCATACCCAGACACATCATCCAGACATGGAGTTTCCACACTAAATTCGCCCCTGCTAGCCGGGGAGAAGTGACTTCAGTGTTCGCTTCTTCCTCCCCGTTTCTGAGCCTCAGTGGGTCCCAGTCACGGCTCCCCAAAGCCCGGGCAGCTAGTAGTCCCCTGTTGTGGTGTTTGGGAAGGGGGGCGGGTTTCAATGGTGGAAGGAGCTGCGGAGCCAGCAAAGAACCCAGCTTGGTTTAAAAGTTCCCAACCCTGGCTCCCAGGAGCATGCATTTCAGAATGTGCAGGACGGTCGGTGTGAAGGTGCTGAGATTCTCGCCTAAGGCTTGTGTGGTGACGCGGTGGCTGTGGGTACCAGGGAGATGGGAATCAGGCAGTGTGGGGTTTTCCCCACGCAGGGAACTCCCCTCCCGCCCTCCACCGGTCCCCTTCTCCTCCAAAAGTTTGGCGCGTGCTCCGGGATGCAGTCGGAGCCCGACTGGGGCCCAGGAGGCGGTGCCGGGACGCGGGTTCCCCACTTACCCCACTTACCCCGGCTGAGCCTCCTCCTCCCGGCGGGCGGATCTGACTCTCCCGAGGCCGGCGTCCAGCACGGGCAGCATCCGCCCCCAACTGCCCCCTCGGCTCGGAAGATGTTGGGGCCGCGCTCCCCACGGCGCCCACTCTGCGTCCCCGGCGAGTGCGGGCAGGGAGGCGCGGCCCGGCTGGTCCCCTCGCTGGGCGGGAAGCGGCGCCAGGCGGGCGGTGTCCTAGCTGCAGGCGAACGACCGGTCCTACCCAAGACTCCGATCCCGTTAGCGGCCGAAGGCGGCCTTCTGAGTCACAGCCAAGGTTTCGGGAGCCCCGCGCCTCTCCGCCAAGCTCCCCGCCTGACTTCACACGCGTACCCGGCAACTTGGGGACGCTTGGTAAAGTTGGCGCGGCCGCCCACCCGGCCTCTCGAAGAGGATGGAGGAGGCGGAGGACGTAGGGAGGAGGGAGGAGCCGAGAGGGAGGGCAGCAGCCACCCCTCGCCCCCCTGGGAGCCTCGCTCTCCTCGACCCCTCTGTGGGCCTTTGTTCCCGACGTGGCTGAGTCCCTTGGGACTCGCCCGGGCTGCTCCGATCCCTACCCTTTTGGACGAGTCTGGGAGGAGCTCCCAGCCCCAGGGAGGGGAGTTCAGAGGCAAGACTTCGAAGAGAGTTGTCCTGCCCGAGCACCCCCATACTGCTGCCCACCCTCAACATGAAGACCTTCCTGTCCCTCTGAGGACGCTTCCTGGGATTTAGAAAAGCCACCGCACTCCTTCCCTGGGTAGCGACAGGTTACAGAAGTGTCCTTGATGCTTTCTCACACAGCCCCCAAGACAAAATGTGGGAAAGGGTCCTCACCAAGGAGCACAGAGGGAGCTGGAGCCCCTTGGCATTATCTTAAGATCCTCTTGGACTGCTGACACCCCTGAGGTGGGAGTCATGTCTCTTCTGAGTGCTGCTGTGTGGCAGCTGGGTACTGAGAATTACTGGGTCTGTAAAAGGGCCAGTGTCGCCAAGACCATTGTAAAGGGCTCAGCGTTGGACCACAAGCCAAACTTTAGGTTATAGGTTCCAATCCTGTGATATAGCCTGTTCTTGAGACTTCCCAGTCCTCCCCCGACTTCCTAGCCCTCTGTCTTCAGGTAACTCCAGGCCTGAGACAGCCCTCCTGACGTTCCTCAGGCTTTTGAAAGGTTTAGACAAAATAGACAATTGTCTATAAAGGAGAAGTGAGAAAATATAAAAAAGGAAACTTACACATCTGTCCTCGGCCCCGCTCTGTCATGCTGAACATTTATATCAGCCGAAGACATTAACTCACTCAGGCAGCAGATACAGAACCAGACAGAATGGACAGTGGGTCCCAGGTGGCTCCAAGACCTCCCTCTCAGGTCCCTAATTAGAAGGTTGGTACGATTTTGCCAAGCTATTGGATAGCAGGGGCCTGATCGAAGTGTCCTTCTGTGAAGAAGATCCCCTAAACCCTGTCCTGCTAGCCTCATGCAGAAGGCTTTCCCTTGGGGACTCAGGAAGTCTTGGATTTTGTCACTCAAAATTTGAGATACACCTTGGGGTACACAAAGGCCAAAAGTTAGGCCCACGTCAGGCTGAGAATGGCGCTTAATGAGATAGAGCGCTTGGCTTCAATTCTCCAGCACTGTATAAACTTGGGTGTGCTGATGCACACCTGCAATCCCAGACGTGGGAGGTGAAGGTGGGAGGGTCAGAAGTTCAAGGTCATCCTCAGCTGTAGGGAGTTCAAGGCCAGCCTAGAACACTAGAGACCCTGTCTCATATATACGTATGTACATGTCTATGTATGTGTGTGTATGTATGTGTATGTGTGTGCATGTATGTGTGTGTATGTATGTGTATTTATATATATGCATATGTATGTGTATGTGTGTGATGTATGTGTATGTATGTATATGTGTATGTGTGTATGTATGTGTATGTATGTATATGTGTATGTGTGTATGTATCTGTCTGTATGTATATGTGTATGTATGTGTGTGTATGTATGTGTATGTATGTGTGTGTATCTATGTATATGTCTATGTAGGTGTATATGTATGTATATATATATGTATGTGTATGTATGTGTATGTATATGTGTGTGTATGTATGTGTATGTATGTGTATGTTTGTATATGTGTATGTATGTGTGCATGTATGTATATGTATGTATATGT